GGGGGGGGGGGGGGGGGTAGGGTATGGGCGTTGTTGGGCAGAAGTTGTTTCGAGAACAAGGGAACGAGACAGAAAAAAATATAGACAGTCATCTGTACGTGACACCAGCGGGTCTCTGTTACCTACCGCATGTACCTACATGTACATTTTGCATGCCTTAGCGGCTACCACTGACCACTCGTTGACAGGCGAGCGAACGCGTGGTGTCCCACCACCTAGTGCGGCTTTTTATGTTTTCATGACCAATGCATCGCTCGGTTTCGTCTTACTAAATACGGCGGCCATGCTGGCGTTTTTCTGATTTTTGCTGGCACCTCAAGTCACTCGGGGGTTCTTGTCCTTCGTTTTGTTTTTCCGATACATCTTTGTGTAGAGCACCTGTATGGAGTAGTTGGCGTGTGACTATGGAAGGCGTCCCCTTCAGGTGGTACTGAGCAGAGACTGGAGAAAACGTGTATAGTTTACGAAGAAAATGAACGTATGAAGATATACACATCGCCAATGAGAAAAGAGGAACAAGGGGAAGAAACAACAACAACAGCAGCAATCGTAATATTCCTTGGTGAGAAACAAGAACAATCTTTCATATCTCTACTCACCTGGGCTTGTATCCAGCGAAGTTTCTCTCTCCCTCGATGGACGGGGGTAGGAAACGCATAACCACTCCTAGGGGAAGCACGGCCGCTCCCATCAGAATGGTCGTCGCCCACTCTTCACTATTCAAGTCCTCGGTCCTGGTTATAGACGTACACGCAAAGACATCGATCGCAACAGACACGGCATGAAATTTTTCTTTCACTTGGTTAAAAAAAGACAACAAGTTGCTGGTAAGCAGCAACACCTCAGAGGAGAGGGCTTCGCCGTACTGTCAGGGTTTTGCTTGGAAATTGGGGTTATTGAAAGGGACAAGGTCTACGACTTCTGCAGCATATCGCTCAAACCGAAGTCTTGGGGGGGACTAATTACGTCACCAACAAAGTTCTCTGGCGAAAAAAGGCGAGAAAAGGCATATTTTTAGTTTGGTCTGTGACAGGAAATATTCTCTTGAGAATGTACGTTGATGTTTGCACACCAATGAGGACGGGACGGAGCGGGACGGGGTGTCCATCGTCCGTATGCCGCATCACTACTTTCCACCTACCTCGTGAAGCTGCCCCCCTCCTGCACGATGAGGAACTGCGCCAGCACGGTGAAGACGATAACGCCCAGGAACATGGGGTTCTTCAGGCCTTTGACGATGTTCCAGCCGTTCGTGATGGACCGCGCGTTGAACTCGTTGAATATCTGCCAGAGAAATTTCGGAGGTAGAGTTATTGGTACATTTGCCGATCCGCGTTCTTTCGCGCTGGGGACCAGAGAGAGAGCGAGAGAGAGATCGAAAGCTGATCTGGGAGTTTGAAAATCAAGACGAGTGCACTGCACTTCACCGATACGGAATCACAAGAAGCAAAAGAAAAACGTTCACAAGGTGCAAGTGGAGGAGGCTATAACCGATCTATCTCCTTGGCGGGCAATCGACCAACGATGGCAACAGACCAAGTACGCTACATTCGCTTTCCTTGGTGTAATTGTCCCCGCCTTTGTTTCAGTTTCCGAGGCGCTCCCGTTTGTTGTAAAAAACGGTGTGGCAGGTCGTGTGTTTGGTGCATACCCCTTGTCCTTGTTGTTGGTTCTTGTTGTCGCCATCAACAACGTATCCGTTAAACGTCTCCACGCGCACCTGACAGAATACGAAGGCGTTGAACACGATGGTAAAGTGCTTCGGCGAACCGTCCGGCACCCCGAAGAACTCCGCTCCGGCCAGCAGCAGCCACCTTTGTCAAAACAAAAACAATCGCAGTGACAGCAGCAGCAGCAGCAGCAGCAACGACGACAACAACAACAACAACAACAACAACAACAACAAACAACACGCGGCAGGCAGCAGATGTACGATACAATGAGGGGTGATATATGGCGTGGTTAGGCCTAGGCCCATTCTGCTCCAATTGTATCCATCCCTTGCGGTACTGGAGGTATGCCGAATGTGCAAGGTTTGGTTAGCAGGGATTCCCAACCATCGACGTACGGCATGTCGGGTGCGGCACAGCAAACGCAAGGATGATGATCAACTTCTGGTCTTATCCTTGTGCAACGTACCATGGGCCGGCCGGCAAAAACCCGGCATACAAATCGCTCGGCCCCGGTACTACTGCTGTAGGGACGCGAGGTATACCGACTACAGCATAATGTCTTTACATGGGGATCCCCACCCCATCCCCTCGAGGACGCGCGGTCAATGGTGTACCCGCTACATCAAGGCACCCAAAACATGAGAACCCTCGCCTCCGCCTCGACCCAAATCTCTCACGTGAGCAGGACCAGCTGGTAGACAGCCTGCACGGCGATGTGGCGCCACATGATCCGGTTAATCAGGGACGAGTTTCGCTTGTAGGGCCTTCGCCGTAGCAGCGCCAGCGTGGGAGGCTCTGTGCCCAGGGCGAGGGCCCCCATGGTGTCCATGATGAGGTTGACCCAGAGCATCATCACGGCGTTCAGGGGAGGTTCGTAGCCGCTCACGGCGCTGAGGAACGTCAGCGTCAACGCCACCACTGTAGTCGTAGATTGGAAGTGGGGGGGGGGGGGGGGGTTT